AAAACTGCTAAAGCCACTATGTACTGATGAGCATACAAATGTTTGATGTAAAAGTAACATGGCAACATTTATTTAATTGTTTCATTGAATTATTCGATCAACACAATCAAAAGCATTAAGCAAAGGAATGCAAAAAATATTATCACACCCGCAACGAATCGAAAAGTCTGGGAAAATTGGCAACTGACCAGTGGTGTCCCACTAACTACTACCAGAAGGACCGAAAGAACAAAAGAGACGGCAAGTTACTATATGCTATATGACAGATAAGCTCGTATTCGCTTTCCCTCTCATAAATCTTAAACAATAGTGTCATCCGTCGTGAATGGAACGATTTTTTTCTACGACGAAATGCATTATCATTTCGCTTTTTCTGGACGACGGTTTTTACGCATAAAAATATAGATACTATAGATTCCATAGATAAGCGGAGCTATAATGACAAGACCAATAATTGAAATGGCCTTAACTGCATTTTGTAAACAAACTTTGTAAGGCTATTTTCTCGCGAACCGAAGTCCGCAAAGGCAAACCAACATAATGAACAGGTAGGGGAAATTCTCCTCTACCCGATTGTGTTTTAGGTTTGCGAATGAAGGTTTCGGTTCGCGAGAAAAGGGCCTTGCAAGGTTTGTTTACAAAATGGAGTTAAGGCCATTTCAATTGTTGGTCTTGATGTAGCCGAGGATGTAGCCAAACGAACTGTCAGTTAGTGAAGCCAAACGAGCATGACGCAAAACGCTTTCCACACTCCACATTCTGATTTATTTCGCGGACAACGGAAGAAGGAAAGATAAAGCAAACCATTCCTCAATACATTGTTGCAAAGATTTGCTTTGCGCTTCATTTTGAACTTTTACGCACAAAACAAAACAAAACTGCACAACGAAGAGCTCTATGATGGCATGAACTTTTTTCACGCATGCCAGTAAGCTCATTGTTACCAAAACAACTTTTTGTACCTCCGCTTGCTTTTTAACACAAACGCACACGGCTATGAGAAATGCTTTTGGAGTAAAGAGAGTTTTCTTGCCATTCCTTCGACATATCCTCTGACAACCCAAGATATTTTCAAATCGTACAGGTAGAGTGATCTGCATGTGTTGAATATAGTTTTGAGCTGTTTTGAGAATTCAGGATGAATGAAACATTGGATATTTTTTAATTAGGGAGAATGTCGGCTTCGGCACTTCTTTCCCTTTTATCGCAAAGGGAGTAAATGAAGTCTTAGAGTGTTAATTTTTTGCAGAACATGATAATAGGTAATGAAGTGCTGAATCCGACATTTCCCCTATTTTCTATCGTTAAACTTTGTATATGTTTTATTCCAAATGTGTTTTCGAATATCAAAGTGTACAGAATTATGATAATCGTACTAGAATTAGCAGAAAATCATAAATACAGTTTTTCTTTGATGTGATCGTCTCACTCCACAATAAGCATTTTACTTACCCTTTGCTTGGCAAAGTTGCCAGTCTTCTTGATATGATTGTCTTCGGTATAATTGTACTTGCCACACAATTATGCTAATGTAAAATGATACCGGCATTGAAATCTCTCAATAAATAACTGTGGAAGTGCATCTAGAACACTAAGCTTAGAGCACGCAATAAGCTTATATGCGATAAGCAATAAGTTTAAATGCGAAGTAAAAGAAGAAGAAGAAGAAGAAAAAAGAAGAAGAAGAAGAAGAATTCAAAACAAGCATATAATCTAAAAAATAAATAAGATGTTCTCATCTTTCCTACAGACACTCTATACATAAGCACCAACAGAAGTATACACACCTTTCAATATATGAATCTTGGGTGTGTTTGAATTGTATATACCAGTAAAGCTGGTATAAATGGTAAAAGGTGGTTCTCTCCACCGCTACCAATTGAAATTTAAATGCCACCGTTTCTGATTCCCATGTTACCTATCTGTTATGTGGTGGTAGTTTTACACGATAGATGAGGAGATGAAAGTATAGAGTTGATAGTTCCGTTAGAGTATGGAAGTGTGAAAATTTTATATAGAAAGTAGAAAGCGAGCAAAGGTTAATTTTGAGGAAGGCACGAATCGGGTGATCATCTCTTTTACCAAACTGCTGAAGGAATATCAACGATAAGTTATAAGAAACTACAGATAGACCTTACTTTCTGATTCAGAAATCTTATAACAGTTTTGACATGTTGAGTTAGTCTTACATTTTTCGAATATCAGCTATAAAGAAAAGTTTTTTGTTAGAACTCACTGAAGTGTTGCAAAAATGTAAAATAGTACGTTAAAAGAATGTTGCTATTTTTCAACACATCGCAACAACACCGTAACGATTTGTCAACATATTTTCATCGTTACGTAATATTGATAGTATTCATGTTCCAGTTATGTTGAAAATAAGTAGCAAATCTGTAGTTTGAACAATCATAGAATTAGTTGAGTATGAGCATGATTTAAAGTGGTACGATCCAGTGTCCACAAATCCTAGGAATTTGCACTGCCACAAGATTACTAGGGGTTAATCCGAGCATCACTGTGATTTCAGGCATTAAATCTGCATCACTTTATTTGCTGCATAGCAGTGGTTTCATTGTGTGTATCATGCGAACGTCTGTTCACTCGGCAGCAACCATTGTATCGTCCTCTTCATTGTTCTTCATCAGCAGTTCTTTCGGTAGATGCGTCGTCGACTTTGGAAGCAACCATTTCGTGATGAGTGTGTAAGTGATGACCACGTTTTGCGTCCATTGCTGCAATGGAAGCGCTCTGCCCCCTGTTGGCGATACTGACATTCAATGAAACCACTGGAAGCTAATCCAATTTTGATGCAGGAGGTTTATTGTATAGCGGAAGATAAAGTGCTTATTGTGCTGTACCTAGTGGTTTTAGTTTGACGATGTTTTGTATAGTGAACAAGAATCATCGACTCTGTAAAGTTAATTCTATTGAGCCTCAAAAGTATATTTCCAATGTTTCCAGAAGTTCTTTGATATTCTCTTAAGAAGGCTCTTGGAATCTTGATCGTGATTCGCAAGAAACTATCCTCTGAACACAAATTCACCTTAGAATTCCTTTGAAACTACAGTAATCCCTCCAGTTATGCAGTGGTACCGTCCTCCTTCTTCTTTTTCTACTTATCGCATATTTACTTATTGCATGCTATCAACTCAGTGTTCTGGATGCACTTCCACAGTAATTAATTGAGAGCTTTCGATGCCTTACAACGTTTACATTAGTATAATTGCGTGGCAAGTACAATCATGCCCTTGGATGTTTTGTCAGGATTTCCTTGGAATTCTCTTCCGGACTTTTTTTTTTCCATTCTCTGATTTTTTTCAGAGTTCCTTCTTAATTTTTCAAAATTCTTCTCGGAATTTTACATAACATTTATTTATTTGTTGACACCATGAGTTGACGAATTGTCGGAAAAATTCGTTATAATTTGTTTCAAATTCCGTTCAAATTTTAGTCAATACTCCAATGACACCGTTCTCAGATGTTGTTAGTTTGATCTTATATGAATTTCTTCTCAAAGCTACAGCTAATCGAAAATATTAAATTCTTAGAATTCCTTTGCAATTGAATCAATTTCAAACTCAGATGCCATTCGAATTCCTTTTTACAAAGCTGTTGAAGCTGATCCATCAACTGCTGAACAGTGGGTGAAGCTAAGTTCATGTCAACGCAAGTATGGCTTTACAGCTAGAAACTGCCACAAATTACTGGAGAAGAGGACTTTGTTGAAATCTGATGGATGTAAGAATTCAATTTAACTCTTCTCTTATTATCATTAACTTAATTAAGCGACTATTTGTAGATACTTGTCTTCAAGAAAAGTTAAATTCTGGATATCTTCAGAGAATTGAAGAATTTGCAGAGAGCTGGATTCAGGCAAGACTTACAGGCTTACATTTTCCAGAGTTCTGCAACTTCGTAGGATCAGGGTTGGGGCTGTATGGCGAATAGGCGTGCGCAACTGTCCATTTTGATTTTGGACTAGCATGGCAGAAGATGAAAGTTCCAGAGACGTCCGAACCTTACGACGATCCTTTGCTCCGTTCCGTGATTTGTAAAAACTATAGCATATCCGAACAACAGATCATTCATCTATATTTGTTATTTAAATACACCTTTAAACGTAAATAAACATTAGCGCTTAATTATTACTTTAATACAATCTTTTAATCATGTTAAATAGAAAAGCCTACTTATACTCCGACTTCCCTACTTACCTCGGTTTCTCTAATCTTCTGTTTTACATGTTTTCCACTGCTCTGCTGCCCTTTTTTAATCAAAAGGGGCGGGGGAAGAGGGCTCTTACTACCAATGTCTTTGATATTCAAAAGCTACCACTGTAAAACATAGTTTAAATGCTAAAAAACTTTAAAAAGTTGCTCTAGACCGTGATACGTTGGACGTTACTCTTCGATGTTTTTTGGCCAAATCTCGAACAGAGGCACTTTTCTTATTGCAGAGAGCTTGGGTGATCTTCCGGTTCAGTTATCGGTCCAGATTTACGGCCAGATTTCGGTGTGTCTTCGATGGTAACTTTTTCGCGGAACTTTCGGATGGCTGTTCGGACTGCTCCGATACTTATTTTCTCCATTTTCCCCAACTTCCTTACTGATACTCCACCATCTATGCACAATCTGCTTGCGCCTTTTGCATTTGTTGGCATTTTGATGATTTTATTTAAAGAAAAATCAATTTTCGCACACAAACTTTTTGAGCAATTAGTAAACAACAACATCGATGAACAGCTGATAAACTTCATCGGTGAAAAAATGGCGTCGAGTTGAAAGTGTGCATATACTTTGTCCCATGAAATTTCAGAATTGTGTGGATAATTAAAGCTGAACGATGCAGCTAAATACTGAATGATAACTATTTTTTATCGAACGGTGTGCGGCAAATTTCTGTAAACGATCCGATGAGAAGCTCCATGTATAGAATCAATCAATGAACACAGTAACCGTCAAAAAATATTCAAAATTCACCTTTTTACCCATCCTTTACAGTTCTTCCTGCGTCTCAACTACCTGGAAATGCATCGAACGTACGGCTGCAGCATGAATCCCCAGCGAGCTCGTCCGCTGTGTGATTTTTGCGGCCGTAAGTTCTGCCAACCGCAGAAGCTGAAGGTTCACATCAAACGAATGCACAGCGATATGGCCGAAGTGCTGCGGGACTTCCAGTGCAAGCTATGCTCGAAGCTCTTGGGGTCCCGAGCAGCTTTGCAGCGTCACTCCAAGGAAGTTCACAGCCGAAATTCGGCTGTGGTTAGCTGTCCCCGTTGTCAGAAGCTGTTCCAGAATAGGAGCAACCTGAAGATTCACATGTTGACTCACTCGGGAGTAAGGCCGTTCAAGTGAGTGTTTCTCGGTTTTAATTTTGGTTGAGATGATTTAACGATGAATGGTTTCCAGATGTGCGGAGGGTGAGTGCGCGGCAGCTTTCACGACGAAGCAGTGTCTGCAGTTTCACTACAAGAAGGTTCACGGATATACGCAGGAGCAGATGCCGAAGATTGAGCGCAGTGTTGCGTACACCTTTGATGCTTATTCTGGTGGTATGAATGATGGATTGGTTGGTAAGTAGCCTCTCCTCCGTCGACTTTGAAGAATTCGTTGAAATCTGTTGATATAGATCTTCTTACAGATGGCATCCAGCGTCGGCAGCGAAGGAAGCCGGAGCCAGGTGAAGAAGGATGCAGTGAGAAACGGAAACGTGCACCGAAGAATCTTCCCGGGAATATACTCAAGACCAAGAACATTTTGGAGTCGTTCAGCGAGATTTGCAAGAACGACAGCAACCTGTCGCTGTTGTCGACTAAAATTTCATCGATACTGAATGGAAATTTGAAGGACTTTGGCAAGGTTCCCGGTGGACTACCAGGGTTGGATGGTGACGGCGTTCGGAAGGAAGAACTGGACGATGATCTAGATTCAAACGAATGTGCAGAACGGGATGAACGGTTGGAGGCGATTCAAAGACATCTGAATCAACCGTTGTCAGATGAGAAGCACGAAGAGTTCAGTCAGTTGCACTCTCGTCTATCGAACATATCAGCTCAGAGCGAACATAATGCAATGCACTATAAGCTGCCCAGCAGCGAGGACGAGAAGCCGCTGGCGGATGGAGATGGCTTTGGCGACTTGAACTCGCTAGCGAGTAATCATAAGTATAAAGAATTTATGAACGGGGGAAACCCTGGATTGGTGATAAGCAAGGGAAGCAAGAAATGGATTAGCGACAATGATCACATGCAGGATGATAACAATTCGGAAAGCATGCTTGCGGCTGCAGCCAATCGAGATTTCCTGACGAAGCTGATCATGAATGGCAATGTGGGTCATAATGCTTCGCAGTCACACGTGGCAGATGACGATGAGGATGATGATGATAACTCGACAATTTTGGATGTGGTTGATTCAAATAACCAAAATCAACATAACTCTAATGTACAAAATCAGCAGCAGTCTCAACAACAGCAGCAGCAGCAGCAGCAACAGCAGCAGCAACAACAACAGCAACAACAGCATCAGTATACGTCAAGTTTCGCTGGATTGAACAGCTCCTTACCGGATTTGCCAGCGTTCCAAAGTCATACATTCCCTTCGCATTTCAACCATCAGTCACTGTTGGGAAGTTTCTACAATAACAACAGCGGAGTAACGGGTCGTAACGCTATCAACACTATACCAACGTCGGCTAGCATGCTGGTGGAAGCTGCGTTGAATTCCGTGAGCAACATAATCAATGAAGCGGAGATGAATAACAGTAGCAACGAAAATCAGAACCTGCACATGGGTGACATCGACGGGGGTAACGCAACAACGGCTGAAAATAATCTTCAAACGGATACGTTCAATCCGGATGGGATCAATTCTTCGGTAGACGAAATGAAGATGTTGAAACCGCACAACTTCCCACTTCCGATGAACTCTATGTCGCAGTTCTCGACGCAGTCCCCGGATGATGCAAGTATCATACAGGAACGCAATGAAATGGAGGTTCGGCCAAAGTCACGTGATAAGCTCCCGAACTATGGCGATGGGGAAATGCTAAGTTACGATAGTCAATCGCATCAGCAACAGCAGCAGCAGCAGCAATCGCAATCTGCTCTTCATAAGCATACTCCAAGCGTTGATTCTGTGCGCAGTGCACTATCACCTGAGCAGAACGATTTCAATTATTCAAATTCGAATAGTGCTCAAAGGCAGCAGCAACAAGGTGTTACCAACTCACCAGCTCGATCGAATTCTCGGCAAATTTACGGAGAGCATGACTTGATATCACCGGCATCTACCCCTTCGCTGCCGAGATACGATTTCGGAGCAGATAACAACAGCTACGCTCGGCGGCAGGAGAAGACCATCAGTTCGTTGGCATTGGAGAACTTTGAGGCCAATTTGAAGAGCAATCATCATATGCAGCATTTGTCTAGCGATGAGGACAGTAGTATTGTGATTGCGGAGAATCTCTCGGTTAACGCAGGCAATAGCGAGGGAAAGCTGAAGATCACAAATCCAACATCTGGTGGAGACTTCATAACGCCAAATGCTGGCAGCGGTAGCAGTAAATACGACACTGGACGTAATAGTTTGGGGTCGGATTTGTCTACGGATCTAAGACTAAAGTACAACTCTGAAGCAAATGTAGATCTTCCAGATTTTCGTTCCGGTAACGCAATGAATGAAACCTCGGACTTCCAGGGCTTGGATATGACTTCTCGAGCCGGTCTTCCATCGAGTTACTCGCATAGCAACTTTCAGGTTCCCTCGAGTGGTGCGAATCTGAACTTTAACCGGTATCATCACCATATCTACGATATACTTAACGAACGGGAGCAACACCAACAGCAGCAACAACAGCAGCAGCATCAGCAGCAGCAACAAGAATTCCAGTTGCAACAGCAGCAGCAACAACAGCAACAAATGCAGCACATGATTCAAGACCACATTGGTCAAGACACAGAACCGGAACAACCGGCTTCGGTAGATCTTAGTCGTACCTCGAACTACCTGGTTCCATCTCCTCCTTCTCCGGCCCTTCCTTATTCCCATCCCCATCCGGACATGATCCGTATGGTTTCACTGGATCTGAGTGCAAACAGCGGTGGGAACATGATCGTCGGTAATACCCCTCATCATGTCCGCCACCCCTCGTTCCTATCCTCTCAGATTCAACATTCCAATCGAGATTCACTTCCCGACCACCATAGACTGTTGGCAAGTGAACAGCTAGCTGCTTCGAATCATCGACTACTGGTCGATCCCGCTGCGCATCTGATCTTTGAGCAGAATAATCGCCTTCTTGCGGAAACTCCTGGACCGGCACCACCTCCCCCGAGGCATGTAGTCTCTCCACAGCGAGGTTTCGGAGCCTACCACCACCATCATCACCATCAAGTCGGATCGTCCAACTACCATCATCATTCGGTCAAACAGAACCTTACCTCTCCACCGTTGAATCAGCATGCTTCGGCTGCTGCAAACTATCATCCCTTCCCGACTTACTACTAGGTAGCTTGATCTGACATTAACACACTATCGTATTCAAATTGTTCGGTTGCAATAGCTGAATGTCCTCTACTGACATTCGTTAGTATGTTAGGGTAATTTTCGCAGAATGCAGATCACTGGTGGCAAAGGGATGCCTTAAATTGTCGTTTGGCTGGCCTTTGTTTGTTAGTGTAAAGCTGGTTGATTTTTCAAATTGTTCGACCCCTCGTTGACGTTGATTGAAAAATTTGATCTATCGACACCAAAACTTGATTTTGGACTACCTGACAGAGGGTAATCAAATGCAGCTAGTGACACAATTTCTGCGAGAATTTCTCCTTAGGATTCGATGCCAGTACAAATATGAGAGTGGCATAAGTTAGCGACAGCTGCTGCAAATCAACAACTCTGAAATTCAGGACGCTTGAACATACTGATCGAGCTCAAAGAGTATTATCTGAAAAATGTACCCACCAAAACCCGAAAGGATTGTAAAAAAAGAAAGCAAAAAAAAAACACTGCAGCCGAGAACGAGCTTCGGTATACGAAAAGACGGAAAAATTGTTGAATGTCGGTATTGATTATGAATATGTATAAATATTATGCAAACTTCTGCAGCGAATAAGCTAAGAGATCGGCTCATTTTGGTGAACCAACTGCAAGATCTATATTTTTATTGTTTTTAATGTGCAATCAATTGTATTTTTGTGAATGTAACAATCAATTTGATCTCTACTTTTGTCCGTTATAGTACTCATCTTTATCACGTATAAAAAAAAACAATCAAAAACGACGATATCGCGCAAAAATGTTTTACCAGAAAGTACGCATAATGAAACATTATAAATGTTTTACACCTCATTTTTGTTCAATCTAAACACTTAGCACAAATTGAGCAGCAGGATGCTTTACAGTGACAGAAAAAATCTTATCGTAGTTTGTAACTATTATTCCAAGTAAAGTAGGAAAGAGAAAAGATAAAACAAATACATACCAAGATATACCAAAACAAACAAAAAACAAACACACAAATGAATCGAGAGTATTGTGCCAAAAGAAAATAGGGGAAACCCAGCAAAAAGTACGAAACGAATGTTCTTCTGTTTGTTTACGCTCTTGTCAACCGGAATCATCAGTCTTGTCAGTCAGCCGTTTTATTAGTAGTTGTATAATCGATATTTATAAAAATAGATTATAAAAAAGAATCCATAGTCTGTATCTGTGTAAAACATTGGAAAACCTTAAAATACAATGAATAGTGTTCTATGTAACAGTGGCACAAATTACAAAGGCAAAACAATTTGAACGCAAAAGAACAGGAGAAGAAAATCCAAACCCACTCACAAACAGCATACTGAAATTAAAAAAAAAAACTGTTTCAACAAGCATTTGCCAGCTCAGATTTTGACCAATAGAGACGGGGCAAATCAATAACAAAATGATGACAAATGATTCAAGTGAAGAAAAATTATATAACAAAGTATAAATACGACAGACACAACAACTACAACTAGAGACTCCAGTAATCACTGGAGAATAATTGGAATCAAGAAGCATAGTATGAAAACCCAAATCAGGCATGTGTATGATACGAAAAATTAATAAAGAAAATGGAAATAACTATCATGGTCTCTAGCTACTTTAAAACCGCATATCACTACCCTGTCCATGATTGCATAGTTGACGCAAGAGCCACAATGACCAAAATCCACTTTTTTTGTCGCAACTGACGTAGGACTGTCTTTCATTTCTTTTTATACTCGGGGTACACTTTGTGAAAACCGAAAATGGAACATGAAACAAAATTATGAAAGATTTTGAACATTAATAACTCAGCTGCTCCTGGACCAATTTCAATAATTTTATCACCAATCGATCAGAAATATTTCTACGCATCTAAAGCAATGCTTCCGGCTGATGATTTTTAACGAGCTGTCACCTACACTAATCACGCCAAGCGTAAGCGGCCATGGATGCCATCTACGCTTTGAAGCGGCAGAGACGCACTCTGTACGGTTTCTCGGAGGTTAAATCATCACCAACTTTGGCAACAAAACGGCCCTTTTCAGGGCCACCAAGTTCATTACAGTAAAGAGTAGGAATAGAATCGAACGACCACACAAAATGCTCATGTAACCAAACTTGGAAGCATGGGTACAAATGATTTTGATCGATTCTCTTCATCATCTTTCTCTTTGAATCGCCACGGCTGGATAATTTCGGTGGAAGAAGCAACAATCTGGCATCTAATTCGACGAAGACGGCAGGACACATTTTTGAAGCCGAGTTATTAACGAAAGAGAGAGTCGATGAAGAGAATCGATCAATGTAGATAGAACCTATTGAAAAGTGACGCGAGATTTGTTTTCCGTGCTGAGCACCAATGCTACTGACGCCAGGGAGGCAGCTCCCACACCTGGACCCTACCTATCGACCCATCAACTCAACCCGGTAAAGGAACAGGAAGCTCGGGTGTACCTACAGCGAACAGGTTTGCTGTTCTTCCCATCGATGTGCCCTAATACCCAACCAGCTGTGACGGAAAAGCGCAGTAAAAAGAGAAAGAAGAATCGAGGCCAGTCCGATGGCACGATTGGGCGCGACGATATTACCGCGACAAACGTCAGCGATATCGGCGATTTCGGTATCGCTGAGGAAACCGAAAATGCCAGCCCAAATGCGGCAAACGTCAAACTACCACCGCTGGTAGTGAAAAGTGCACATCTAAACACGCTCATCGCTAGCTTCGCGTCCATGGGCATTAAAGCTGAGTTCGAACTCAGTAGAATCGGAACAAAGGTGATGCTCCGCACGAAAGCGGAATACGAGCTGGCCACATCTTACCTGAAGAAGTCTAAGGCGGAATTCTTCACTCACGATATCCCAGGCGAGAAGCCCTTCAAAATGGTCATCCGAGGTTTACCGAGCTTTGACCTGAAGTTAGTCGAAGCGGAAATCAAGGACTACTACAAGCTGGCCCCAACTCCCGTCTATCAGATGACAAGGAGGGACGGAACGTCAGGAAGTATCCGGATTGCCTTTTCCTGGTGCATTTCCAGAAGGGAACGGTGACGCTCAATGCATTGAAGGCCATCCGCTCCATCAATTCCATCATTGTCCGCTGTCACGACGTCACCCAGTGTCAACGTTGCCTGAATTTTGGGCACGGCACCCGAAACTGCTTCGTCAAGCCGCGCTGTGGCAAATGCGCCCAAAACCACTTCTACTCCGACTGTGATGTCGACCAACTGTGGTGGCGCTCATTAAGGGTCGTCCGTCAAACAGTGCTCCATACGCGAAGATTTCAAGTGGATCCGAAAGCAGGCGTTCACCCACAAGAAATCAACCCGCTTGTAGATGACGGCGTGGTTTCCGTGGTTGGACCTATAGCACCGGACCTACAAGGACCATTGCAAGACACCTTGGATAATTTGTGTACTTGGGCAATGAATCTGGGTATCGAATTCTTTCCGGAGAAAACAGAGATGGTTGTTTTTTTCTAGGAAGCTTTATCCAGCAGAGTTTCAGCTTCAACTTATGCGTAGAACAATAACTCACAGCATGTCGTTTAAGTATTTAGGTGTCTGGATCGATTCCAAGTGCACTTGGGGAAAACACATAGCGTATCTGAGGCAGAGATGCCAACAGCGAATCAATTTCCTTCGTTCCATTACTGGCACTTCATGGGGAGCCCATCCGGAAGATCTGATAAGACTCTACAAGACCACCATTCTCTCGATTTTGGAGTACGGTAGCTTTTGCTTTCAATCGGCGACGGGGACGCACATATTGCAGCTCCAAAGGATTCAATATCGTTACAAACGAATCGCGCTAGGTTGTATGTAATCGACGCATACGCAGTCTTGAAGTTCTTGCGGGCGTCCTCCCCTTAAGAAATGGTTTTGCGGATTTATCGTTCCGGTTCCTCATCCGCTGTGAAGTCATGAACCCGCTGGTGATCGAAAACTTTGAGAAGCTGCTAGAGCGGAATCCTCAAACACGATTCATGAGCTTGTACTACGAGTACATGACTCTGGACATCGGCCCCTCCTCGTTCAACCCCAATCGCGCTGTCTCCCATCATTTCAATTGTTCTTCCGTGAGATTCGATCTCACAATGAGGCAGGATATTCAAGGAATTCCAGAGCCTCACCGTTCCCTGATTGTCCCAAATATTTTTGCGAACAAATACCGCCACGTCCCCACCGAGAAGAGATTTTTCACAGATGGGTCGGTGATAAATGCGTCCACGCGTTTTGGAATATTTCACGATCTTCAGAGCGCCTCATACAAGCTTCAAAAGTCGTGTTCGGTATACGTTGCTGAACTAGCAGCTATATCGTACACGTTAGAGCGTATTGCCTCACTTCCACCTGATCATTATTTAATTTTTACGGATAGCCTAAGCTTCCTGGAGGCTATTCCTCCAGGAAATACGATCGTCAATGAGTGCTTTATCAAACAGCTCGCATATCATCACCTTGGTATGGGTCCCTTCTCATTGCTCTATTCCGGGCAATGAGAAAGCGGACTCGCTGGCCAAGGTGGGCGCTATGGAAGGCGATATTTACGAGCGACAAATCGCCTACCACGAATTTTTCACGATTTCTCGTCAGCAAGTCCTCGCCAACTGGCAACAAAAGTGGAATGATGGTGATCTGGGAAGATGGCTACATTCTATTGTCCCACAGGTTTCAATCAAACCCTGGTTCAAAGGGTTGGATCATTATCAAGAAAGGAATCAAGTTCTGCACGCTGCCGAATATTCGCACTTCTATCACCGAGGCCCTTGTTATGAGTACAACTGCCGTGCCACCTTACTCATTCATCTTGGTTGGTGGCAACACTGTGAGAAGAGAAAACAAAAAGGTACTGTAGGTGCTTTTTTCATTCGTGGTCGAACATTCGAAGTGTTAACATCGTTTCTTAAATAAAGTTTCTTTTTATTGTTCGTGAACTAAACTCGGCCTTTCAATTCTGATGAAAACCTCTGACCAATAGGTTATGGGCCCAGGTAATCGTGGAAAGTATCGAGTTTTGCGGTTCATCGTCGCGGAAAAAGTGGATTTTGCGAAGTAAACAAGTCGGGAGTGAACGTGTTCGTGCCTGCACTAAACAAGATGGCGGAATCACACATCTCGATTGAGAAGCTGAGCGACCAGAACTACACAATCTGGAAGTTCAAAATGCAGCTTCTAATGTCCCGTGAAAAAGTGCTGAAAGTTGTGTCGGAGCCGAAACCTGCGGAACCTGATGCTGTGTGGCTCGCAAACGACGAGAAGGCGAGGGCGCTGATCGGTCTGGCACTGGAAGACAGCCAGCTAATTCACGTGATGCAGACCACTACATCGAAGGAAATGTGGGACGCTCTTAAGGGATACCACGAGCGGTCATCTCTTTCGAGTAAAATCCACGTCATGCACCAGATGTTTGCTACCCGGATGTCGGAGGGTGGCAACATGGGAGAGCACCTGAAGGAGCTCACGTCGTTGCGGCTTCGACTGATCGCACTTGGTGAAGAAATGAAGGATCCGTCGTTCGTAGCCTTGATGCTGTCGAGCCTGCCGAAATCATACGATGGCTTGATCGTGGCGTTGGAGAGTCGACCAGATGCAGACCTCACGGTCGACTTCGTCAAAGGGAAGCTGTTGGATGAAGGCCGACGTCGAGCGCAGGAAGGTCTAGAAGAAGAAAAAGCACTGGTGTCGAGTGGAGGTAGTGAGAAGAGTAGATTTAAAAGTGAAAAGAAAAATGACAAGAAGAAAGAAAAACTGTGCCATTATTGTGGTAAGGAGGGCCATTTTCGGCGAGACTGCCGGAAGTTGGTGGCTGACAGGAAGGAAAAAGCAGCTTGTGAAAAGGCAAACTTTGCCGTTGAAGCAGAAGATAGTGTGGATCTGTGTTTGTTCGTTGGGAGAGCTGAAGAAGCCGGGTTGTGGTACTTAGACTCTGGTGCCACTTCTCATATGACAAACGACGCATCTATCCTGGTGAAGCTGGACAAATCGAAGCAATCAGCAATCTCGTTGGCTGACGGCCAATGCATCAAATCGACTGGTGCAGGAAGTAGCAAGCTTGTGTCCGTGAACGGAAATGGTGCTCGGATGAACGTTTCGCTGGACAACGTGTACCATGTGCCGTCGCTCGCAACAAACCTACTTTCGGTGAGTAAAATTACTGATTTGGGGTTTCAAGTTTCGTTCGATAAGACTGGGTGCAGAGTCCTGAAAGGCGAAAATGTGCTGTTAGTGGGTCAACGTAAGGGTGGCCTATATCACCTGCAGCGGTTTCCGGAGCAAGCCAAGTTAGCGTATTCGAATCATGGAGTTTCCTGTTTACACCTGTGGCATCGTCGGCTTGGGCACCGTGACATGGAGGCGGTAATGAAGATTCTGCGGAA